AAGTCATTTATGCCATATATGCCGTTTCGCCAGGTTACGAAATAGGGGTTTGTGTGTCTTATCAAAAGTTGACGACTGTAAATTAATATTAAAAGAGATTTTCTAGGATCGTGTTAACTGTTTTCTTCACTTAGTCATTAATCAAGACGACTAACCCCCACATGCCTAAATGCTTGAAGTAATTCCACTCGTGATCCCTTCTTCGATAATTTTAAATAAATCATAAACCTTAATAGGCCTAGCAGCTCTAGAGTCTACTTAAATTAATCTAGATATTAAAACCAAGGTGGCATTGCCTTTTCTTTTAGTCTTAGTATCCTTTGGCTGTATTGTGTTGGTTTGACCTCGTTTTCGCAACTCGGTCGGAACCACAGGGAGACATTGCGGAACGTACCTAGTCCTGCGTCCTTTGCCATGGTATTCATGATGGTTTCTAGCATTGGACTGTTGACTTGGTACATTTACAGACGTTCCGCCGGCATTGCAGTCGGTATTGACAGTGAGAAGCGTCATCAGCACAGAGTTATAATTTATCTAAGGGACGAGTTAAACAATGCTCCTGATCAATTTTCTGTTCAACCGTTGTGACATCACTGATTTTGGCTAATTTCCCTGTTCCAAAAACACTTTAATGTGGTCTGCAATCAACTTTGAATTGCTTTGATTTGCTATTATCTAGGCTTCGTCACCGAGCTGACGGAGATGGCGAGAGCGACTCAACTCCGCTTAATTTAAAGGGTCATTGCCGTTCGAATTCCACCGACTCTCATCCTGCTGCTTTAATCGAATCTCTAATGCCTATTCCGGACACAGTATCCAATCCAGGTCTAATTCATCCTAACAATAGTGGACCAGCTCCACCACCGCCTCCGCCGCCACCGCCGCCTCCGCCACCGCCGCCCAATGATTCACAAGAATACAGCACCACACCCGTTTGGATAGAGCGTCTGAGGGCCAAAAAGCGTTCAACAAACAATATTGTAAGCAAAATAGCCCCCTTCATTTTGCTACTTCCTTAGAAGCATTTCTTCTTGATTGATGTTTTAAATATTTTTTCTATTTTATAGCATCGCGTTGGAACCTGGCTCTAATTTTATTACTAACTGGGCCCATAAACATAAATATTTATATGAAGATGTGGTCGCAGTCTCCTTTCATATATAAGTTGTTTGACCCTGTTTTCGCAACTTGGTTATATTGGTAGGAAGACTTAGAGGAACGCATCTTGTTCTGAGTCCATTGTATGCATAATTATTTCCAGAATCGAACCGTGGGAGTGGTACATTCCCAAACGTTTCGCCGGCATCGTCAGTGAGTCTGGCCATTCGTAGCACCATATTACAACTCGCCAAAAAGACAAGTAAAGCTGATCCTTTAGCCAAACGTGCGCTTAACAGTTTTGATATCTCCCCTTCTGCTCTAGCCTATTCACATTTATTATATCCTCTTATCACGCCTTCACCATTACAATTTTTTACTTTCTTAATTAAATGTGGTACGGTGTGCCCTTTTTTAGCGGCTTTCATGAGAGCCCTGCGCACTCCACGCTGC